AGCTGGGGATGGAGTGGACCATGTGGAGGTGAGGAGGAAGAGTAGGTGCTGGAGTAGGGGTGTGTCAGGAACCCAAGGAACAGAATCAAAGCTGGGCAAGGCATTGCAGAGGCAGCCATGAATCCACAGAGCTGGCCCTTACAGTAGGGAATGGGGGGTGTCTTTGGCCACCTCAGCTCGGGTCTCTCTCATCTAGTTTCCTGCCTTTGCCCTAATCCCTCAATTTTCCGCATCTCTGCCCCCTCCTCTGCTTCTTCTCTGACCCCAGGTCTCTGGCGCATGGCCCTCGGCTCTCTAATTTACTTAGTCTCCATCCCTCTCCCTCTTTCAGAGTCTCTCTAATTTGGTTTCTCTCTCTCTCTCCTCTCCTCTCTCCTCTCTCTCTCTCTTTCTCTCTCTCTCGGTCTCTCTTTTCTCTCTGTCTGTCTGCCTTTCTCTGGGTCTGGCTCTCTCTTTCTGGCTGTCTCTGGTCTCCTATCTTTCACTCTCTGGGCTCACTGCCCTTGTTGCCCCTCCCCCTCTCTCACTTGCTTCCTCTCGGTGTGGCCCTCCTGGTCCCTCAGTTCCCAGCGTCTTCCATTTCTTGGGGTCTCTGCAAGGAGCAGCCTGGGCCGGTGCTGGTTTCCCTCTGCCTCCTTCCCCTCCCCCTGCACTGTTTGGTAGGCGGGGTGCGTGGCACTGCAGCTCCCACCTCCCTGGAGACTCTCCCTCACCACTACCACCACTGACATCGTTCTGCATGCTGGCTGCAGCCCCAGGGACATCTGTGCAGAGACTGGGACTCCAGTAGAGAGACAGAGACTTGGAGAGACAAGTGTGACCCCAGATAGAGATACCTAGCAAGAGGGAGATAAGAAGGAAACACAGACATAATTAGCCTGGCCCTTCCAGCCACTGGGCTTCTGTTTCCTGGGTGTGGTACTTCCCAACCATCCCAAGCCAGGCCCTGTCCCTCTGTCCTGCAGTGAAGCCTCATGAGGTCCTTGTGTGTGTGCCTGTGTGTCGTAGCACATGTAAACGTGGTATCTGTCAGTTCTGTGCATGTCCCAAGACACAAGGGATTAAGGGTATGTGTGTGTGAGGCCTTGGGGCTATGAAAAGCCACACATGTCGTGTCGTGTCCATGAATGTGACTGTGGGACATGTTTGGTGTTCAGCTATGGGTGTCTAGTGTGATTGTCCAGAACTCTGGGTGGGTTATACTGTGTTCAGTGTTTCTGCATTTTGTGGCCGTGCAGGGCTTGAGTGACCAGGGCAGGACAGACTGTCTCTGAGGTCAAGGAGGTGAGGAGGGTGAGACCAGAAGCAGGGTGAAAGGACCACAGTGGGAGGCAGGGTTGCTGAGTGTGTGAGTGACCCACCAGGGAAGAGCAGTGGGCACAGCCAAAAGGTCCTCAGAGCTGTGTGACAGCCCATCTGTGTGGCAGGGTGTATGTGTTTGGTGGTTGCTGCATCTCTGTGCCTGTGTCTGAATCTGGTTTCAAGTGCTGGTGTGTGTGTGTGTGTGTGTGTGTGTGTGTGTGTGTGTGTGTGTGGTGTGCACATATTTGGGAAGCAGAATGGAGCAAGCCAGCTGGGTAGAATGTGGGTTCGTGGCAGTGAGTGTGTGTACCAGCCCTGAAGAATGCTGCTGATAGCTGTGTGTGTATATGTGTATGACCGTGTAGATGCTGGATGCTATGCGTGCATACAACTTGCATAAATTTGTGCCTGATTTGTGTGTGAAGCTGTTTCTGTGATGATGTGTGAGCACTGATGTGCCTGGTTTGCCATGTCTGCCTCTGTGTGGGTCTGTGTGTCATGGATGACCTATGTGTCAGAGGGGATTTCAGTTCTTGCATTTCATGTGCCCATTTGAGGATTAGTGTGTGGCATTGAGAGGAGTAGTCAGGGCCATGTTGAATGTGTGTGGTGGGTGTTAATGTGTGTGGTGTCTGTGTGCAATGTGTGGAGTGGTATCTGTATGTAGTATTTGTGGTGTTTGGAATGTGGTATGTGTGTAGTTTTGTGTCTATATGTGTGTGGTTTGTGTCTAAATGTGTATGTATGCATATGGTCATTTGGGAAGCAGAATGATCTATATGTGCTCTCTGTGTGAAGTGTGTATGTGTGGTGTATATGTGGGGGTATTATGGGTATGTGTACATGTGTGATAGGTGTGATGTGGTGTGGTATGTGTGGTGTATGCCATGTGGTATATGTATGGCATAATACAGAAGGCCTGTGATGTCTGCTGTGTGGTATGTAGCATGTATATGGTATAGCATATGTATAATATGTATATGGTTTGTGTGTGGTATATATTGTGGTATGGGCGATGTGCTTATATGGTGTGTATAGTTTATATGTATGTATGGTGTGTATGTGGTACATGAGGTATATAGTATGTATATGGTGTGTGATGTGTATGTGGCATGAATGCATGGTGTGTATATGGGGTATATAGTATGTGTATGGTTTCTGTGTATGTGGTATGAGTGTGTGGTGTGTATATGGGGTGTACAATATGTATATGGTTTGTGTGTGGTGTGTATGTGCTCAATGGGGTGTCGAGTATGGAGTGTTGACCCTACTAATGGCCAGGCCAGAGCGTTTGGTTGGTGTGAGCAGGTGTGGGAATGGGGTGATGTTTATGGTGAGGTGGGCAGGTACTGGTAAGACAGCTCCCTTCTGACCTCTTCTTTGCTAGGACAGCCACAGGAGCTCTTGATGCTGATGGTGAGACAGTCCTTGAGCCTGGCTCTGTATATACCTGGACATAGCTGGAATCTGGACAGACAGGTGTGGTGAACATAGGTTCCTGTTTTGAAAGCAGGAAGCAAAGCCCTGCACTGCATGGGACAGGGTGTGAGTGTAGTTGTTCATGTACAGACAGACAAGAGGGGGCTGGGAGCACATCCATGGTCCAGGGGTATGTGTGGTGTGTGTGCCTACTCTTTTGAATCACTGTGAGTCTCCACTGTGTGCACAGACACATCCTATATAGGCATGTGGTGTGAGGAAGGGTGCGTGCACAGACTGTATGTGAATGTGTGGCCATTGGGTGTAGTCAGTGTGTGTCTGGGCAGGGTGTGTGTGTGTGTGTGTGTGTACGCACGCGCGGGGGCAGTGGTGGGAGAGGGGTCTTGGGCCGCGTCTCTCTCCTCTTTAGACAGAGCCCTGGAGAAGATATGAAATTTAAAAAAAAAATCAATTTTCATTCCACTTGTGCAGATTGTGTTAAGGGGAGGTGGGGATGGGGGGGCCTGGGTGAGGGATGAAGGGGCTGGGGGCGGTGTGAGGCCCGAGGCAGCTCCCGAGGCGGCCAGCGCAGCTTAGAGAAATCAAAACAACTGGTTAAAACCCCAGCCCAAGGGGCTGGGGTGATGGGGGTGAGGAGACAGAGGCAGAGAGGCCCAGAGGCAGAGAGGGACAGACAGAGGAGCCCAGAGACAGACAGAATCAGAGACACTCAGAAATGGAAGCATCTAGAGATAGAGGCACATAGAGAGATGAGCAACAAAATGACTCTCCATGAGAGACAGACACTGACCCCTAGAAGAACATGATAGAAGAGGGTCTGAGACGTATGTACATTTTGCACATGCGTGCACACGGAAACACACATGCAGATATGTTTGAGAAATCCATAGATGATGGATGGACAGACAGCAGCACAAACAGTGGGGCTACTGGGGTACATTTCCCTCTAAGTTTGCACACCCACCCAGCTAACCTTTACTCTTAGGTCTCTGGGGACTGCTGTGCTGGTCATGTTTGGGGCTGTAATCTTTGTGTGACTGTACCTGTGTGCCTGTGATGAGTAGACACATAAATTGGCTATCTGGCTGTGGCAGTCTGTTGTGATGTTTCTGTGCCCATGTGGGACCCAATGCAATGCAGGTGTTTGATGGACAGTCTCACAGTCTCTGGTGCTTGCTGTGTGAGTCTGTCTGTGTGTGTGTGTCAGTGCCATATGGTTGTGTGTGACAGTGGTATGTGTGTGAATCTGTTGATATGTGTACTTATATGGTGTATGTTGTGTGTCTGACTCTCTAGATGTGTGGGTCTTTGGGTGTGTGCTGCATGGCCGTGTGTGTGTGTGTGTGTGTGTGTGTGTGTGTGTGTGCTGACTTGGCTGTGCTGCTGTGAATCTATGTGTGTCTCTGTTTCTGAGTGACATGGTCTCAGTGTGTGATTGTGTGCCTGTGTGCTTAAAGGTCTGTTTCTGTATTTGTGAACATTGGTGTGTGACTATATCTGTATGGATGTGTCTGTCTAGGTTTTGATTGTGTCTTTGTTTCTGTGTGGGGTTCAGTTAGTGTGTCTTGTTTGTGTATCTGTAAAATTGTGTGTCCGTTTTTATGATGCTATTGTACATGGTGCTGCTGTGCGTGATTCCATTGATTTGTGGGTCAGTGCCATATGGTTGTGTGTGACAGTGGTATGTGTGTGAATCTGTTGATATGTGCACTTATATGATGTATGTTGTGTGTCTGACTCTCTAGATGTGTGGGTCTTTGGGTGTGTGCTGCATGGCCGTGTGTGTATGTGATGGTGTTGTAGAGGACATGGTAGTGTGTGTGGCTATGTTGGCCTGTGTGATGGAGGCTGTGTTCTTGGAGTAGGTGTGGGTCTGTGTGATTGTGCCTGGTGAAGAGCAGAGGGAGGCAGCCTCTGCCTGCCCAGCCCCTCTCGGCACAGGCTGCCTTACACGCACAGATTCGGTGCCATGGCTGCCGGCGTTCGAGATGGGGTGGGGGGGGGTGGAGGAAGCAAAATAAAATTAAAAATTAAAGCTTGCCCGGAGTCCCCATCCGCACCGCAGCGGCCGGCGGGGAGGGGCGCGTTGCGGCTGCTCCCCCCACAGCCACTGGGGCTGGAGCCAGCTGTCCGTCTGTCCAGTGACTCTGCCAGGCTCCTGCCTGGCCCTACAGCCCTGGGCCGCGGGCCCTGCTTCCTTCATGGGTCGATCAGCAATCAATGGGCCAGGGGGGCGCCAGGGGCACGGTGAGATCAAAGGGACCCCAAGAGAGGGACACTGGGACTGAAACAGAGACCTAGAGACAGAGACGTGGAGATGGGGACTTTGCAATAAGAAACTGAAACGGAGACAGAGACGTGGAGGCCCAGAAACGGAGCAGAGGGGCCATGTGGAGACCCAAAGACCTGGGGACAGACAGATGTGGACATCCAGAGATGCTAGCTAGCAACGCCCCAAATGGAGCAGAAATGGTGGTCTTGGCGGGACAGGGAGCCAATCGGAGGGGCTAGGTATGGAGCCTGACATGGGACAGAGGCTGGGCACGGGAGAATGGGGAGAAGTGGCAGCAGAGACCCGAGAAGGCAGAGACGCTGGGAGTGAGAGACGGCGGCGGGGGGGAGCGTGGGAGCAGGGCCCGGAGCGCCGATCCCACGGCTCCTCGTTATAACGTGTCCGGAGGAGGCGGCGGGGAGTTGAAAGCATTGGGAAGAGAAATCAAAACCAACACGGAAATGAGAGGGGCCAATGGGGGGTGGGGGTGGGGGCGG